TATAAAGCTAAAGTTTTTTTTTTTTTTTGGGTCACAATAAAGCTAAAGGTTAAAATCTTCAAAATTACCTTTTAATTAACTTTTTAACTAATTTACACATAAAATTATTGATACCACACAAGATAAGAACAATGGTACATAAGCTACCAGAAAGATGACGAGATGTTTAAGATCAGAAGATTCAACTGTTTAAGGGTTTTTGGGGTCTAAACGAGCTCGGACCGCCCATATTACCATCTCTAGTTAAATCATATATCTCCGACATCAATGCTTATTCTCCAAACCCAGTTTTCTCTCCTTTCTTCCGTGATAATTTGTTTCCATTTACTCTTCTTGTTAACGGCTCTATCCTTTCTTCTGTATTCTCTCATTTATTGTCTCTTCTTCTATTCCTCGGCCAAAATCTCTCTCTGCTTGTATTCTTGTGTAAACTGTAAAGTATCTTGAACATTACAGATTCCACTCATTCACAGTGCACCTATATTATTGTGTATAAAAAGGGTGTTGTTCAGATTTTTGTCCTTATTGGACAAGGTAATGAAGAGTGTCATACAAGTAACAAATTGGAAGCCCAAAGGACTCCCAAACATAGGAACGCAGTCTGAAAGCAAACATGTCTATAGTTTGATTTCTTCTGTCTCACTTTACGACAATGATGATGACGGAGAAGGAAAGAGTGGTTTCGATAATCTTTGCGTATTTATATATGTGAGTGTGGGTGAATGTAGGAAATATAGGAGGAAGCAGAGGAGAGATTAGAGGTGGTCATTCGTCATAGTAATCAGAAGCAGAGAGAGAAGGGAGAAAAGTGGAGTCGATGAGTTCTGTGCGAGATGTTTCCCACAATTGTTGTTCTATTCCAAGCTTCCTTAGCTCCCTCATTCCTCTTTCCACTAACAAAGAATCAGAGTCCAATTAATAATAGTAACAATATATGCACACTGATTTAACTGTTAAAGGACTTATACCATCAACTGCATCATGTGAAGATGGCTGTTGCCCGAGACGGTTGATCCAGAACTGAAGACGCTCTTCCGCTATATCACTTTCCACGCCATGGATTTTAGCTCTTTTCCAGAAATACAGCAGCCACGCCTACAACATTACATTATAATTACTTGTAATCATTCATGATCCAGCCAAGTAAAAAAGCCTTTGCTAGTTCTACTCTTACCTCTTTAAATAATATATCCTGTTGCTCCTCTTCGCTTAGCTCTGCATTCAAAAATTCAAAGGAACCATTCATTACTAAGTCCTTCTTGCTTCTCTATAAGATTCCATACAATATAGATGAAGCATCACAACTTAACAGATCAAAATGTAACTCACCAAACGCTTCAGAGAATTTAGATTCCCCCTGCACCCTTGGATCTAGATATTAAAATCACATGAGCGTCTTTTGTATAGCTTTCAGATGTTCAGTATATATAAACATATTTTTTTTTTACCAGTGACGGCTTGTCGAACCACATTTGTTTGTCTATACGGGGCAAGTGCAAGCATTAAAGCATCCTCTACCTATGGGGCGCAAGAAAACATATGTATGAGATACCTATTTTCTGGTTTTACAGTGATGATACACATGAAATTCTGATTAGAAAAATATGGGCACTAAACCTTCAAAGATGCCATCTCTCGCAAACCCGCTTCAACAGCAAGCATACTCTCTATGTTTCCTTCACCTGTTGCATCACTGAAATTACTGACCACTTTGCTCCAAGTGCAATCGCTACCACCTGCCAGATGTGATGTTACCTACTAATTTAGACTCCTAAAATAAAATGTTTCATCCAGAAACTTGAAACCAGACCTGTTTGCCAGGAGTCTTCAGGCTTTTGGGCAGCGGAAAGGACAACTTCAAAAGGAAGAGGAGCTAACGCTGACCAATGTCCATGTCTTGTTGTGGCTATATCATCGCATATTCCTAAGAGTAACCCAATGAGAAGCATAAGTAAACATTTCCAAATGAGGTTTGCTAGTAATATTATTGATCAAGTTAAGACTTTCATGGCATAAGTTGATCAGCAAGCCAGGACTCATTAAAGCGACATATCACATGAGTTCTCCATGTCACTCTACAATATCTAGTGGAAAAGTACACTGAGTGAATGAGAAGTATATGCACTGATCAAGTCAGGACCAATTTGTGAACTTTACAAAAACCTTTGAACTCCCGGCACAAGAATGAGATCATTTCAGGTCAATACACAACACAGAATGGAACAATTTTATCTTTACAAGAGATGAATTTGTTACCATGTTGAACAGCTAGTTCCCAGTAGCGAGCAAGCCAGCATCTCTTTAGAACAACTTCCTCCTACCAGGTTGGTCAATCATATATATAGTTAAATATAAAAAAGACCGTACTGGAGTTAACCGTCAATATAGAAAAGTCAAGTTTTTAAGCAAACCATTTCTTCTTGAGTCAACATCGTTCTATGTATCATTGTCCGAAGAGACTTTGTTTCAGCTTCAGCCTCCTGAAGCTGTTCCACGGCTTTCTCTGCTTCATCTTTCAAGGTCTGATCATAACACAACAGAGAAGAGATGATCATTCCTTGTCAAGTTGGAAAAGATTTATATAATTAAGACTAGAGCGGACTGTAATGTTTGATACTAAATTTGAGTAGACAAGCATTGGTTTACCAGAGCATTGTACCTGAAATTCTGAACGAAGGGAATCGGTTTCTCTGTGTCTCCCATCTCTTTTCTGTTCAGCAGCCCTTAATACTGCCTGCAATACATTTATGGTATTCCTTTCAAAAACTTTACTGTCAATGCAAATGCCAAGACAAGCTATCAGACGGAAAAAGGAGCATGCATATTGGTAATGTAGCACATAGAGCAAATGAAACAACTTCCATTAAAATATGAAAGCATTACAGACCTCTCTTTGACGCAATGCTGCTTCTTTCCTGGAGGGATGAGCGCAACTTTCGTCAAAACCCAATTATGTGAATGAAGGCTATATAATAAAGATAGGAATACCAAACCTCTTCAAGAGCTTGACGTCAAAGTTTGCTCCTTCACCTAGCGAAGCAACCTATTGCAAGTCATACCACACTTAAAATGTAACCATCAACATTGTATATAAACCAGACATGTGTGCAAAAGTGAACTGTACTAAAAATCATAAAGACCTGTTTCTCGAGCTCTTTAGCCCTTGCTTCTGCTGCTTCGCGTCTTTCTTCAGCGCGCTGAAGCTGCAGATGTAACTCAAGTATATACACATCAAGTGCACAAAGGTAGCAAAACACACAAAATAGTGAACTATAATAGAGTTAGAGATAGAAATTCCTCACTGACCTTTTCCAGTATGTTATCATTTTCTTCTTGAAGCATATCTAGCTACAATGATAATGAGAGATCAATACCACATCAAAATTAAGTTCTAACGCAAATAGTATAAACCGCAACATGAGAAGCATACTTCATCACGCAGGGCCGAAGCTTCTCGATCATCTTCGTGCTGATTCGCTGTTAAAATTTCTGCAGGGCGAAACCTGAAACTAGTAGTTCGTTCCCAGTAATGTCGTCAAATACAGCACACTAAACTTGAGCAAAAAATTTGTGTAAACTCGAATTTTCACCTTTTCTTATACTTCAATTGAGCCTCCGATTGTTTTACAGGCACATCAAACTGAACATTGTTTCCGTTCGGCTCATAATCCTCCATTGGATTCCGACGCGAATAGGCCGGAACTCTAACCTTGAGTGTTCCACTTCCATTCTTTTGAGGAATCTCCACTGGATTATAGGGCATATCGGCAGTCATTCCGTCATCGTCGAGTTCATCGTCAAATGTAGGTGCCGGAAGTGCGACGGGTCTCAGCAACGGAGCTTCTATCAGACCCGTTCCCCTCCGATTCTGGGGCAAATCGGCTGCAATTTCGTCACCGTCGGATTCATCGTCAAATTTCGGCGGCGGTAGTGCATGGGGTTTCACTACCGGAGCTTTTTCCGGACCCCTTCCCTTCCGATTCCGGGGTAAATCGACTGCGATTTCATCACCGTCGGATTCGTCGTCAAATTTAGGAAGCGGGAGTGCAGGGGGTTTCATCACCGGAGCTTTTTCCGGACCCCTTCCCTTCCGATTCCGAGGTAAATGTACTGTGATTTCATCACCGTCGGATTCATCGTCAAATTTAGGGGCAAGTACGACCGGATTCGAAACCTTAGCAGTACGCTTATCATCTCGTCTTCTAGACTGAGAGAGAGGCGGAAGAGGTACCTGGTACAGATCTTCGTCTCCAGCTTCGTCGTCGTAATCATAGTCGTAGTCGCGCTTCTCCATGACCTTGGCGAGCAGTTCGGCGGCGTTTTGCTTCCGGAGAGTGCTCCGGCCAGGGAGACCTCCTCCGTTGTTGTTCATACGATGAGACGGAGACATCGCCGGTGAAGAAGAAGCTGAGCTTCCTGGTCCGCCACTATCCAGCATCTCCCGCCGCCTCCGCGCCATCTTCTCTGGTTATGTACAGAGCAATCACTCGGCGTAATATAGAAACATGGAGAAAGAGAGATTTAAGGTCAAAGAGATGAAACCTAATAAAGGAGACGGAGTCAACAAGATTTTTGGTTTGAGGAGAGTGGAGAATATGTAAACGCCATAGACGTGGACCGAATGGTGGCGGGAGAGGAAGTTGAGAGAACGTGGGACCCATTAGTTTATTGGTTTTTTTCCCTCTTTCCCAATACATTTTTAATTCAATATATTTTCAAATAATTTAGTAATTTATTTATAGATAAATAATATATATATGGATAACACGATTTACGACTGTTGTTAAACA